CCCCAAAACCCCAAAACCCCAAAACCCCTTAGCATTTTAAAATATTTGAAAATAGCAAAAATGGATCAACATCCGATCATCAATGAAGAAGATCATGAAAGTAGCAAGGTCACTGAAGAATCTGGTGATGCTGTTGTTGTCGAAGAGTCGAAATTGTCCACTAGCGAGATTGAAAGTGTTCAACCAACAGATATGACAGCAAGAAATTTTACAATCCATCAGCCAGAATCTTTGTGCAACGAAAATACCAACTTCGAGTTTAATGTCTTCTTATACACAAAATACCAGGATACTTTAGAAATGGCTGATAAGTTAGGAAAAGCTCCAGCAGACGAGACCAAACCTTTCGAATTTAAATACCAAGCTAGAGATCTGCTACAAAATCTATTGAAGTCAGATATTGAAAGATTCGAGAAATCTCCACTCTTCAAGGAGAAAATCAGGAAAAATGAAGAGCAATCTAACCAGAAAGAAGAAGCCAAAGAGAGCGTGTCTCACTTGAATCAAGACTTTGACTTGGTAAATCTTACTATCATCAAAGGACAGATTCACTACCTCATCGCAGTAAACATGTTTGAGTCTGAGGAGTACTCTGATAGTGAGAAATATTTAAAGGTCTCTTTGGAGTATATCAATTCGTTGCCAAGAGAGAAGAAGATCAGTTATTGCAATATTATTCAAGATATTTATAACCACCTTGGTATCATCCACTGTAATAGAGACAACCATCCTAAAGGATTGCCTTACTTTGCTAAGGCAGAGCAGATTTATGAGTTAGTCAAATGAATTAAACTTCCATGCCCACAGGTGAGGAATAACTTAAGAGAGTTCCTTCGCGAGTCTAACTCTGAATCTACAACTCCTAGTAAGAGTGATGCATATGGGTTCAACACCCACAGTGTGCACGCTTTTTATATTGACGGAGGTATTGATAGAGTCCAAGTAGAGAGAAACTATACTTTAACATTATTCTATCTTGCTCAGGTTTATACTAAGTTACAAAAGAGCGAGAAAGCAGTCGGATATTGCGCTCAAACTGTAAAGAGACAACTTGAAACTAATGAGTACGAGGTTAAAGATTGGAGTACAAATTGTGTAAACTTGTCCGAATATTTTATTGAAAACAACCACTTCAGCCAAGCAGAGTATTGTCTTTTTGCAGCAATTTCTATTCTTCCTCCTCCAAACCAAGTTGAAGAAGATCAGGAGCTAAGAGCAATGCTTCAGGCCCAGATTGGTCGGTACTATCTCCATAGGCTCAGATTTGGAATAGATCTGCACAAGAAAGGTGCAAGTATTGGATTAGAAGGGCCTCTTTATGACACAGTCCATCGGAAATTTATTGAATTTCCTTCCCTCAACCTGAAATGGCCAGAGATTACAGATGTAAACGACATTGAACAGGCAAAATTCTTCTTTAGACTAGGAAACACTCAATTTAAATAAAGCATTAGAATTCTTCTCACTTGACGGATATGTGACAGATAACTGTAGAGTCAAGAAAGACATCTCAGATTTGTACAAGTGTATCATTGATATGGAGCAGAGCAAGCCTCGGATCTATGCCATGTACGAGAGAAGAAGAGATTTGCTAGAGCCGATTGTCTCCGTAATTAACCCAGAAGCATACGAAGCCCTTTGGACAGAGCTTAGTGTTGAATTAGTCACAATGCTGCATGAAGCGTTTGATTTAAAGTATCAAGAGCTTAAGGAAGCCAAGAAGATGCCTAAAAAATCTCAATTTGAGATACTTAATGTTTATGGAAAGGGTGCAATCAAGCATGGTCTTCTTGTTGCTGAAAAGCTTGAAACACTAAAAGAAATTGAAGATAGAGATTCTTATGTCCAATCAGTCATCAATCAAAGGCTAGCGGTTGGTAAAATCTATTCCAAACTTTACGATAAGGATAAGAAAGTCATAGTAGAATATTATTCCAAAGCTTTGGAAAACTACAAACAACTCGAGAAGCACTTGAAAGACTACAGAACAAGGAACGATTTTACTCAGGAACTAGAAGAGCAGTTTAACCTCTGCAAGGAAATGATTGATCTTCTCCCTATAAAGATGGAGAAGTTAAGAAATGAAAGTTAGATTTTCAAAATTCTACCCTCAAAAAGGGGTTTTGGGGTTTTGGGGTTTTGGGG